AAAAAAATAAGAGGAAAATTTATTTTCTTTCACCTCTGTATTTCTAACATTACAATAGCCATAAAAGCCCTTCATTTCAGACACTGAGTCATGGTGTGTGCAGAGTATTTACATTTCAGCGAACATATTTTTCATAAAGCATATACATAACCCCAAAACAATTATGAATATTATTTTATTACCTTGAAATTTTCATTTTTTATGTACATGTTATGTGTGCACAATTGCATGTAATTTATTGGAGAAATGTATAGTTTTTGGGTTACCTGATCAATTTGGCTAGATATTTGAGCATACTTTCAATACTGTAATTTTTAAAATATTAATAAAACTTCAGATGACCCCAACTTTCTATGCTTAGGATGAAATATTCCAAAACTGTGTACTCTTTGTGAGAGTTCATAATTTTTCTATTTTCTAGAAAGTTTATCCTTTCCATGATGTTCTGAATTATGTATCTGAAAACTGGCAAGTAAAGCAAAATCCACACCTCTGTTTCCTGAATAAAGATGAATTTTGAATATATCAGCAACAGAAAACCTGTGAATATTCCTACTATAAGATACAAAATGCAGCTGCTCTTCTTAAGACATTTACATACTTTCTTCCTATCATTTATTGTGCTAATATATGTATACTTTGTTCCTAATAGAAATTCCTAATTACAATTTTTCCTATTGAATATGCCTAAAAATGGATAAATACATGAGAATATTTAATAAGAAATTGCCAAAAATAATAATTTGTAATCAGAGTATAAAAGTTGATAAGATAATATAAATATTTCAATCATGAAATGTTTCTTCTCAATTTATAATAATAATTATTATAATACTATAATGAACCAATTTTTTAAATTGATTTTCATAAATTTATATTGATCTATAAACCAGATCTCTTTTTAGATAATCATATGTCTAACCGAAATATATACCTCACATTGGACAAATGGTATATATTCCACTTACACAGTGATTTAATTTTTTAGGTGCATGTCTTTTTTCTCTTTACCTAGATTATAACACCATCAGAAACAACATCTTTATATAGTTTTATGTATATTATTACATATTCTGTAAGATTATGTATAATCTTAAAAATCACCTATATGGATAAAATTATTCCAGTGCTTAACAAGAGATTTGTTAAGCTCTGAGTTAGATAACTTTATGAGTCTTATAGTTCAAAGATTCAATGGTTTATTAATTTATATGAAAAGCCTGTAAAATAGAAGGGAAAATTTACTTAAGGAAGTAATTTCATCCTGAATTAAATTTAATCCTGATACAAAGGAAGTATGTCAACTTCTATCCTTCAAATGTTTCTGTATCATAGCAATAGGTTGTTATCTTATTTCTAGTAGTTTACCTTATGAGAAATACAAGACTATAAAACTGATACCATCTTGTAAATCCATCTATAAAAATGCAATGTGGTTACTTATTTAATATATTTCTTGTAAAAAGAATTACAAAATTTATATATTCTTGCCTCCTTATTATGTTTGAGACCTTGCAATATGAGGCAAAGTAACTGTCACATTAAAAAGCAACTAACAAATGGGTGGAGACTTAACTCAGTGGTAGAGCACTTGCTTAGGATGTTTGTGATCCTGGGTTCAATTCCCAGCACCACCAAGGCAAAAAAAGGAATCATACATAATTTATAAAGTAAACAAATTATGGTAGTGAAAAATATTTAAAAACTTTGCCCAAGGTCTCCTTGCCACCAAGTTATACTGCCTTTCAAAAGTACAACCAGATCAAATACCATGAAATAAAATTAAACATGTAAACATTATTTAAAATTAAAAAATGAAGATACACATATTTTATATTTGTAGTCAATATCTTCAAACATAATAATCAATTCTAATTTTTAAAATGACTGGTGATGATATTGCAAAGTGTATTGAACATCCATTATTTTGACTCACATCATCTATCTCTGCCTTTTTTTTTTACCAAAGTCATTAATATTTCAAATATTGAATCACCTTCTCCTTTCAATTTCTCTTATGTTCCAGGAAACCTGGTTCTATACATGTCATCAAACACTTTTGGGTAAAGGGACAGCTTCAGAAAAATGAAGTCAAACAACCTAAGCAGTCAACACCAATGACACTCAAAGCTGGACCATATTGTTTTTATTTAAGACAAACCATTTAGTATTACTCGGTTTGTTGAAAAGATAAGCATCTATCTCAGTTGCTACTGAAGGAAGTAATGTCACCACTTGAAGAACCTAAGAAAAATGAGAACTCTTGGACAAGACAGGAAACCAAAGAGATGGAGACAGGAAAAAGGATCCTTGACAATATGGTTGAGTACCACACCCAACTCTACATAAATTTCTACCTCAATACTTTTTTCTCATTAGTACATTTTAACTATACAGAATAGTGGGGTTTATTGTGGCATATTTGTACATATGTGTTGACCACATCTACCCCTTCTCTCCTATATCCATGAGACAATAACAACCACTCTGCTTCATTTTCTGAAGCCAGTTTGCTTTGGGTCTGTTCTCATTTTAAATCAAGAATTCTAACTTAATTTTCAGCTAACAATTTTGATTTTATATTGTGTTTTCCCTCATATATTCACACCCATCATTTAATTCTCAAAATTACAGTCAGTGGTTTATAGGTTATGTGATCTCCATTTGAAAGATGAATTCAATTAGATCACAACTGAAAATGCATGCTAGAAAATATTTAAATAGCTTCCTTAAGATCACAATTGAAGGGAAATATTAGAAAAATTAAAACATGAGATATTTATGTCTTCCAGCTCTGCTCAAATGGTATTAAAAATATAATGGAGACATTAATCAAGAATTGTTAACTGATAAAATGTGAGATCTGAGGAAGGAAATGTGTTAAGATTTTAAGAAAAAAATGATGGTAGCTTTACATAACTATGGAAATCAGAAAGAATCAAGATTTTAAGGGGGCTAAAATTGATCAATAATTGGCTTTTAGGCATACTTAGGAAGTTCTGGTAGGACATTTCATTGGTCAAGTGTGTTCAACAACTTTAAATATTAGACTTGCATTCAAAAGAGCATTTGGGAGAGGCATATATGCCTGGAATTCTCCAGAATGTCAATAGCCGAAGCTGTGGCAAGGGCAACAGAACTAGCACCATATGGATTGCTGGATCTCTGGTCCTTCAGTAACATTACCTCATGTGATCCTTATAGTGGGGGTGGAAATACCATCCCAATTAACAGAATGGGAAAATAAATTATAGAGAGCTTAGATAAACACCAATAATTCCTTTCTAACATATAGCAAAACTGAGATTTTTAAAAAGGTCTCTCTGACTCAAAACAGCAAGGGCTAATAAAATCTGTACAAATTAGTCATATTGCTGAGGAAGAATGTTTAAATGAAAATATGAATGCTGGTCTATTACATATCTCAGAATAAGAATGACATTTTACCAAGTAGCAAAAGATTGGGTAAAAATACATGTAATAACACCACTCACCAGTTTGATCAGAGTTCTTGAAAAAGAATTAAAAGAATTTAAGATCCAAGTTACAACTACATAAGTTCCTTGTGTAAACTCAAACATATTGCAGGAAAATACATTTAAGCTTTCTAATATAATTCACTTGGCAAATATGAGATGTAATTTTCTCCCTATTAGACAAAAAAATGACTACTGGAACCTAAAAATAAGACTACATTAAGAACAGTTAAATTGTTTTCACTTTTAGATTATATTAAAACTGAATTACAATCATTACTTTCTGCATTGGCTAGTAATTGTTTCCTCTATAATGAGAATATTAATAGTGAATGTCTTCATGCAATCAAATATATGCATTGGTCCATTTGAATTCAATAATATAGAATATAGCATTAAGGGATTTTTTTTTCTAGTTGACTTCACAAAGAATATCACACACTACCCTTTTCTAGGAAACTCTCTTTAGAAACTTATTATCCAGCAGGAAGACATGCAAGAAGCAAACAACTACAATACAGTACAATCCAGTGGTATCTCCTGCCTGTTATTGTAGGGGTCAGCCATGGATCACTGGCAGCACTAAAACATCACATAGTCTCTAATTTGAGACCTTCAAGCAGACATGGGACTATTTTCCCTGGAAAATCAGCAGCAGATTTTTCCTTTTCATTCATTTAGTGTTTAACTAGAAATAATTGCAGTTTATTGAACATTTGATGTAAATATATATTGTATTTGTTACCATGATTCAATAATCTTTGGGCTATTATAAGAGTGAAATTCTATGATTTATTTAATGTAAGATCAAATATAAATTTAAACAAAAGTCTGAATTATTAAATGACAAAATATACTTTATATATTACCATTGAAATTATTTTATTGAACAGATACACATGTTCATAAAATGCATGTATAGATCATAAGCCTGAAGCTTGTAAATTTTTACAAAATGTGCACACCTATGACAACCAGCACCCAGATTAAGAAATACAATATTGCCAGCAGCCTGGAAACTTTCTGTGCTTTGTTTCAGATGATACCTCACAATTTCTAAGACTCCATATATTTAAATAGTGTAGTTTTGGTTTGTGATAATGAAAATATTTATAAATAGTCACATATTCTTTATAAGAATGCAAAACACTTTAGGTTAAGAAGTTTATATTGAAAACTGATTACATTTTAGGACACTGAACCCTACACACATAAATACACAATCCAAGAACAGGGCATCTGCAATCAGTGTTAAGTAAAATGTCCAGATTACTTACTCATGTCCGAAAGATTAAGGTAACAAAATCAACTTAAATGACACGTGGTTCAAACACATAAAGTTAGGAGATGGTGGTTATTTATTGAAATAACAGATTAATTTTTTAAATGTGCAAGATTCATTTCTGTTTTCCCCATAATCTAATATGAACACATTTCTTTTACATCACTGTTTCTGATCAAGTTTATTCTGTTTAGTTTTGTAATTGATTTCACAAGTCCTGAAAAATTAAATGAACAACTTACTGTCTGGAAGTCTCAGGAAATTTTGGTTCTTCTCTTTTCTTCATTTCTATTGCTGGTTCCATTGGAGTGAGAACTACAGCAGCACAGGAGACTACAGAGTGGTATGAATCCTCCCTGCAAACTGTATTTTAAAGAAAGCTGTAAATGTCAAAATTATTTGTCAACTACTTTCCCTTACCCCTTTTCTCTTTTCAGTCAAATAAAAGAAATATTTCAACTAAAACATTAATTACCATTATTATCCTCAATTATCATTTTCTATGCTGTCTTTCCACTCTCTAGCTGAGGAATAGAAAATGCATAACACACATATATAGTAAAATGTATCTTCAAAACATATCTGTATAATCAGTACTGAGATACATAAATCATGCATTGCCAGCACACTAAACCAATCATCCCTTCCCAATCACCACTGTAGCTCCAAACTTAATCAATTATTAGTATCACTGATATTGCCATGAAGTAGCTGTGCCTATTTCTGATCATTATCCAAATAGGATTATAAATTGACATATATTCTTACATGGGTGACATTTTATTTAATGTATATTTATAAGATTCATCCATATATAGCAACAGTTGGTTCATTCTAAAAGCTATACAGTTTCCATTGGATGAATATACCACAATTCTGTATATTTTTATTGGTAATAGACATGAGTTATTTCTAGTTTGGGGCTATGTCCATAAACAATCTTGTACTTGTTTGGTCAGTATGCAAACAGGTTTATATTGGAAAAACATCTAAAATCATAATAGTTCTTAGGGTATGCTCATGTGGTTTGTGTTTTGCCTAAGTAGATACCACCAGGTTTCTGAACAAACTATACTGATTTACATCACAAAAACAGAGGGTTTCAGTTTTCCACATTCACAACAACAGTTAGTTTTGTGACACTTTTCCTACTAAAATTTTAATAGTCTATTAATTGTGTATTGCTGCATAACAAATTCACACAAACTTAGCAGTAACAGCACTGATCTAATGTATTAAAGATCTGTAGGTAAGGAACATGATAGGCTCAACTGGTTACTCTGCTCAGGATCTTAGTAGTCAAATGTCAATGTGTGGGCCAGGCTGGCTACTTATGAAAAGTTGTAGAATGAATCCACCTTCAAGCTCATATAGGTTGTTGGCAGAATGTGCTTCCTTCTGGAAGTAGGACTCATCTCCTTACCTTGCTGGCTGATAGGTAGGGATAGAGTCATGTTTCATTTCAGAATTCTGCTTTCCAGAGCCATTAAGGACATAGTGGATCACATTTTAACTTTAATTTGCATGCTATTTGATAAGTGATGAAATTGAATATACATATATTAAATCCTCATTTTACATAGTTTTAATACAAAATTTTTCTGTTAAATGGTTCAGTTAAACAACACTAGTTACAAAAAAACATATGGCTTGAATTTCAGCTAGCATGGTGTGTCAACTGTGCATATTGTATAAAACACAATCTTCTCTGCTAGCTCTTCAGTCCATAAATCACTATGCAAATAACAGATATGCATCACAATCAGTGACATATGCATTGCTGCATTCAATATCTGTTGATTATTGATCACTAGGTATATGCTATTTACTTCAATCACAGTCAAGTGTGTGGTTGCATTATTTCCTTGCTTCCCAGTGATAAATTAGCACTGCATTTTATGAAAACAGACAATCTAAGGGAGGAATTTGACAATTAAAATAAAAGTACAGCAAAGAAATGAAAATTCATATTTTAATTTCTTTAAGTTTTATTTACCACAAGACATAAACAGCAACGTGATATTAAAGTTGAATACGGAATGCTGATATTCATTTATGTAAGTAAGTACCCACATAAAGAATTAAATGGAAAGAATATAAGTTAGATCCTTTATCAATGAAAAAAGAGGCAAATAATAAAAATGAGAGCATCAATGTCCCCCAAAGTCTTCTGGACTGAAGCCATGATCCAAAGTGCTGCAATGTTCAGAGGTAGGGCCCTTGGGATGTTATTGGATGGTGATGGTTTTGACTTTCTCAGTGGATTAATTCATTGAAGGATCCACAATTTTATGTCATTATTGGGAGGCGGTGAAAACTGTGAAGACTGGAATGTAGTTAAAGGAAGGAAGTCATGGGGGCATATTCTGGAAGGGTATATTCCATCTCCAACCCTTCCACTCTGTGCTTCCCAGACACCTTCAGGTGAGCAGCTTTGCTTGACATACCCTTCTGCCATGATGTTCCACCTCACGTCAGAAAACCATGTGACCATGGATTGAAACCTCTGAACACTGAGCCAAAATAAAACTTTTCACTTCTAAGATCATTTTTCAAGTATTTGGTCATAGCTAACAGAAAACTGACTAACACAGGGAGGTGCAAGTCATTCAGAAAGAATGGAGCCATAATCTCAATTAAGAAAGAAGTGCAAGAAATGAACACAGGGCTCTTAAGTTTCTCCCTTAGCTGAATTATTAATTTGTACAGGACTAGAGTCTGATATACAACATAGATATCTAATAAAAAGCTAAGCAGAATTTAAAACTATCTTCTGGCCACTCAAGAGACAGAAATTTATGTCCAGTATGTGTCAAGCAGGAGGAGTCATGATTCCTCTTTGTCTTCTTAAAGCTTTCAAATATAGGTTTTGTTTTTTTTCATTTAAATTTAATATTCTCTACTACTTCTTTGCATGACCTTTGGAACAAACAATTCCACACAAGTTGGGAGTAGAAAGCAGTATTATATTTAAAATTCCCTCTATTGGAATGAAGATTCCTACTAGTGAAGAAATAGACTATGAAGAATATTATCGATTTATTCCTCTGAGTAAACAATCATATATATTTATTAAATATTTACTGAACTATTGTCATGTTCCAAGAAATAGTATTTTACTGTGGACAAGGAAAACAAAAATTCCTTCCCCAAGTTACCAATGAGGCTTTTATTTTATAAAGAATACATCTCAAGTATTAGGGCAATAAACTCTGATAAGACCAGATAAAAGGTTTTGTATACATCTCTATGAAGTAAAATGGAGCTTTGTTATTTCAAAATAGGAAAATAGTCAAGCAGGGGAAAATGCTGTTAACTAAGCAGGGATGAATTGAAAAAAAAAAAAACAGTGATATCTGCTTACATAATGTACATTTAATTTCACTACCTAAATTTTATGACAGAAATATTGAAAAATGAAACTACATTCCAAATTATGTGTTAAAAAAATAAGCAAATGGAAGAATACAACTATTTACTTGTTAAGATGATTAATTGGCCTGTCAAAAAATAGGTTCTTGGAAGTGCCATGTAAATGACTAAGGTTTCATATTTTGCAGGAATTAAATTACATTCATATTTTAATTTCTTTAAGTTTTATTTATCATAAACACAAGAATTAGTATAATAACTAAAAGTTAGGACAATAAGTAATAGATGAATTATAACAAAAAAAGAGTTAATGGTGTGATTAAAAGAACAGTAAAAATTCAAATAATATTTCTAGGCCATTCTTCACTTTAAAGAGGAAATAAAAAACTTTTTAAAGCCTTAATAATAATATGTAACTGAGAGGAGATAATTTCTGAGAATCAGTAGAGAAATAGTTATGTGAAAAACAAACACTAGCAAAAGATATTCTTCAAACCCCATGTTTACATTTCAAAATTAAATCAAAACCTTGCATTATAATGATATGATGCAAACTACTCTGTATATCACTTTGGTTAGCATCTAAAAAATAAGTTCCTGGATATTGCTTTTTTTAAAATTTTTATCCTCCCACAAGTGCATGAATTACTTTGGGAAAATGACATAAATTTACTAAATAAAGGTAAAACATTTTTCATTAGAATAAACTTTGAATGATGAAAAGAGAAGTTTGTTAAAAAAAAAAAAAAGACCTCAGTAGTGGAGTTTAATTAAACATGTGCTTTTTGAGAAAACATGCCAAAGTTTTGTTGCCGTAGAGAATTATACAAAATAATACAGGTGTCAGTGAGAAACAGGGAAACCTATATAGATAATAATATTTATTTGATATCCCTAATACAACATTTTTTCATATTCCTATTTAAGAAAAAAATTCAAATATTCCTAATACATGAAAAATTATTGCCAGACTCTTACATTACAACATAAATGTGGATAAAATAATGCATGGCATTGTGGTACGTGCGTACAATCCCAGCAACTTTGGAAGCTGAGGCAGGGGTACCGTAAATTCAAGGACAGCCTTAGAACTTACTAAGACTCTATCTCAAAACTTAAAAATAAATAAATAAAGGTGTTTGGGTATAAATCATTGGTAGAGCACTCCTTGGGTCCAATCCCCAACCAGTCTCTCTTTCTTACACACACACACACACACACACACACACACACAAAATCTCTCTCTCTCTCTCTCTCTCTCTCTCTCTCTCTCTCTCTCACACACACACACACACACACACACATGCATACACAAAGACTCAGTGTAAATAAAATGAGAATACTATCTGTAACCAATTATAAGTTTCTTACTCCTTCACTAGTAATACAAGGAATATGATTTAAATACATTAGAACTTAAGGTATTTTATTCAAATTTGTAGGGTTGAACAATTTTTAAAAATTTTTTATTTGCTCTTTTTAGTTATACATGACAATAGAATCTATTTTGATATATCATACACACAAGGAATATAACTGTGCATTTTTGTGTTGTATGTGATGTGGAATTACATTGGTTATATATTCATATATAAATACAGAAAAGTTATGTCCAATACATTTTTTAAAAAAGAACTAGAATAAATTAATATACTTTGTTGAATATATTGATCATTTAAAAAACAGGAAAGCAATTTTTTTCTCAATATTGAAAAATATTGCTTATGTACTAAGCAATTAAAAAATTATCAGTACAATTCAAACCTTGCTTTTCAATAAAATATGATATAAATTATTAGATAAAGGTAGCTAATTTTTAAACCCCAAATGTAGGAAAATTGTTGCTAAATCACTAACTTTGACTTAGAAAAAGAAAAACAAAACAACAACAACACAAAACAAACAAGAGGATAAAAAAAAAAAGAAAACACAAAGGAAAAAATAAAACTCATAGAAAGGCAATAACTTAATTAAATTATAAACAAAATGTA